ATAATTTAGATAATTAATACTATTTATTAGGAAAAAGGCAGTCTTTGATCTCATTTGTAATGAATGCTCCCATTAGAAAATACATAACGATGTGAGTGAACTACAATTCCCAGAATAGTGGGTCAATCCTCCGTAAACCAGGCCTGTATGCACAGTTGGCCATGTTGAGGCTGTGTGCCAAGTTTGGTCCAGATCTGTTGTCAGCTGGGTTCAGTGCTCTCTGGATAAGGGTGAACTACAACTCCCAGATTCCCAGGGCAATCACCCCCAAATCCAACCAATATTTAAAGTAGACCATATTGGATCTGTGTGCCAAGTGTGATCCAGATCCATTGTCAACTGGGTTGAATGCTCTTGGGATGCAGGTGAACTACATCTCCCAAAATCAAAGTCATTTCCCCCAAACCTTTGCAGTATGTTCAGTTGGTCATGGAGCTTCTCTGTGCCAAGTTTGGTCCCAGTCCATTGTCGGACCCTTCAAGTATGTTCAGTTGTTGATCAATTCCTCTGTGTTTGCTGTGTGCCATAGGAAAGGGTAGGAAAGGGTTAAGGGAGAGGAGGTCGGCAGGGTCATACAAATTCCACACAAGGAACCCTGGGATGCCTGCCTGTGGCAAAGGAAACATGTCAAATCTAGGATGAAATTCTCCCCTAATGAAAGCATTCCTTGGGTGGTGGGCTGTATTTGGGGAGGACTCTGGCAGCGTTTGGGCTACATGTTCATGGCACTCGCCGTAACCTCAACAAATATCCCACTTATACAAAAAGTAAAAAAATAATAGAATTCAGCATATAATTGTATAAACTTCAAATTCAGAGTAATAACAAACAATATTATATGGGTTATTGTACAATCACTCTGAAATGGTATCAACGCCATGTCTTCTTATGCAGAGTTGAATATGAATCAGCTGCCCAAGACTGGTCTTGACCTCACTCCAGGCCTTCCTCTGGTGCTCTAAAATTATTATATACCAGCCGTCCCCTGCCACGCATTGCTATGGCCCACATGGAGGTTCTGTATGGGAGGTTTGGCCCAATTCTATCATTCATGGGGTTCAGAATGCTCTTTGACTGTAGGTGAACTATAAATCCCAATAACTACAACTCCCAAATGTCAAGATTCTATTTCCCCAACCTCCACCAGTGTTCACATTTGGACATATTGAGTATTTTTGTAGAGTTTGGTCCAGACCCATCATTGTTTGAGTCCACAGTCATCTTTGAATGTAGGTGAACTACAACTCCAAAACCAAAGGACAGTGCCCACCAAACCCTTCCAGTATTTTCTGTTGGTCATGGGAGGACTGTGGGCCAAGTTTGGTTCAATTCCATCGTTGGTGGGGTTCAGAATGCTCTTTGATTGCAGGTGAACTATAAATCCCAGCAACTACAACTCCCAAATGACAAAATCAATTTTTGAGTGAAGGACATACATTGGGTTGTTAGGTGTCTTGTGTCCAAATTTGGTGTCAATTCTTCCAGTGGTTTTTGAGTTCTGTTAATCCCACATTACATTTTTATTTATATAGATATCAAAATTTGCTGCAAATATATATATATTGAACGTCATATACTGAAATTTGAATATACTTGCAAAGTTATAAACTTAACACTTATTATATGCATCAACACTTGCTGCAAATATATCAATTGGACATCATATGCTAAAACACATTTGAAGGTGCTTACAAAGTTAGAAACTTGACACTTGTTCTCCTTAGAGATACAGGCTTTTTACTTAATGTGGCTGCAAACATTTGAAAGTTACATATATTTAAAATGAATGTTTTGTCAAAATATAAAGGCTGTAACCTGCAATGTCAGTTGAGAGAGTGCCTTTGGAGGCTTCTTGGCACTATAGCCTGTTTGTGGAAGCGGGCAGCTGTCTGTGTAAGTGGACACCTCCACCACATACACATTTTTCACGTTTATTATGTAGATAGATAGATAGATAGATAGATAGATAGATAGATAGATAGAGATAGATAGAGATAGATAGATAGATAGATAGATAGATAGATAGATAGATAGATAGATTGATTTATTTTATAACACCGTTTTCCCCAGTTTGTGTTTTAAGGCGGTTTACAGGTGTTACAAGACTCAGATACTGATTGGGGGAACATGTGATCCGAGAACTAATTTTTGTCCAAGCTTTGTTCCTGGTTTTGTGTGCAAAATTTATTTGGCAGATTCTGGTGTAGCTTCCCAAGGCATGACCTTGATAGACTGGAGTGCTGTGATTTGTCTATCTCATGTAATGCTGATAAGCGAGGTCTTGTGAGGTACTGAAATCCTTGTTTCCTTTGAGGATGGAAGAAATTATCCTTTGGCTACAAAAAGCAGAGCAGAACTACTCATATGTGACTTAATTTCCACCGCTGCTCACATATGATTTGGAAAGCATACTTATTTCTGGGGTGGTTCACTTGTTTTGCTGAATGGAAAAAAATGTGGTCATGAGAAAAAGGGAAGCAAAGAGAATCAGCTGTTGAATTGATGGCAGAAGATGTAGCTGCACATTACATGCAGAAGATCTCCGATTTGATCCTTGGGATCTCCAAATCAGGTTGGGAATGGATCCTGCTTGAAACTTTTGACAGCTGAGAATTTAAGTTGGTGTTTCCGTGAATAAGCTAGAGTAGATCTTTGGAAAGTTTGTCTTCTTGGACGACAACCTCCAGAATCCCTCAGTCAGCATGGGAGGGATATCGCTGGATGCTTCTAGGAGTAAACATTACCAAGCTCTGAATTAGATGGAATTAGCAAGCTCTGAATTAGATTCTACTCTTCTATTCAGCTCCCCTATCTCTCAGGAAAGGATATTCCACCTGAACGTTAGGAAGAACTTCCTGACTGTGAGAGCTGTTCAGCAGTGGAACTCTCTGCCACGGAGTGTGATGGAGGCTCCTTCTTTGGAGTCGTTTAAACAGAGGCTGGATGGCCATCTGTCAGGGTTGCTTTGAATGCAATTTTTCTGCTTCTTGGCAGGGGTTTGGACTGGATGGCCCATGAGGTCTCTTCCAACTCTAAGATTATATTATTCTATTTATTTATTAAATCATGCAGTTCTGCTCCTCTTTGTGTCTGTGCATGCACACCTGCAAGTCACCTATTCACTTGTGGTGAACCCCTGAATTTTGCAAAGTTATCTTAGGCAAGGAATATTTAGAAGTGGTTTACCGTTTCCTCCCTCTGAACTGTAGGCTTTTAGTACCTGGTTTTCTTCAGCAGTCCGATCACAACCTGGTGCTGCTTAGCTTTCATGATGAGACAGGATCCTGAGCATTTTCTGGAAGTTAACTTCACCCTTTTGAATGGCGTTTTCTAGGTGAACATGCATAGGAATGTAATGTCAGGTTCTTCTCTGACCACTGATATCACACACTGCCGGTGGCACGGTGGGTTAAACCGTTGAGTTGCTGAACTTGTTGGCGGAAAGGTTGCAGGTTCGAATTTGGGGAGCTGGGTGAGCTCCCGTTGTTACCCCTAGCTTCTGTCAGCCTAGCAGTTCAAAAACATGCAAATGTGAGTAGATCAATAGATACTGCTCCGGCAGGAAGCTCCTTGCAGTCATGCCGGCCACAGCGGTGCTCCTTGCAGTCATGCCGGCCACATGACCTTGAAGATGTCTACGGACAACACCAGCTCTTTGGCTTAGAAATGGAGATGAGCACCAACCTCCAGAATCGGACATGACTGGACTTAATGTGAGGGGAAAACCTTTACCTTTTCCTATTCCTATCAGTTAAACCCGTAGCTGCAGAAAAACTTGCTGACCAGAAGGTCGGCAGTTCAAAGCTGCAGGTCGGGGTGAGCTCCAGGCCAACCTAGCAGTTCGAAAACATATAATGTGAGTAGATCAATAGGTACCGCCTTGTTGACAAGGCAAAAGGCATCCATGCAACCATGCCGGCAAAACATGACCAGGAAAGTCCTCAAACGATAGGCTCCTTGCCATGGAAAATGGAACAAGAGCACCTCCACATGGTCAGAATTGAGCATTACCTCCAGACACTGGAGATGGAAAGGGAAACCTTTGCCTTTGTTTGCGTATTGTATGTCATTGTTCATTGTATAAAAGGCATCGAATGTTTGCCTATATATGTGTATACTGTGATCCACTCTGAGTTCCATCGGGGAGATAGAGCGGAATATAAATAAAGTGTATTATTATTATTATTATTATTATTATTATTATTTATTTTGAAAACTCAGTGCCAGACTAACAAATCTGGGGAGAGTCCAGATGATCAGGATTAGTAGACAAGATCCTTTGAAAAGGAGCATGCCCACTTATATATAGCTCTCCCTCTAAATGCACAGCCTAAGAGGAACATTGAAAGTATTTCACAGCAGAAGCACAGTAAACTCAATAATCTAGCAAATCTGCAATTCTTCACCATTTTAGGTCAAGGAACATTCACGAACTATCTGTTTTTTGGAAATAGGCTAAAGGTATGTTGGATAGATTGCTGAGGGATGACAGTAATCAGACTTTCTGACTCTCGGTTGTTTAAGAATAGGGCAAACAAAAACACGTCCATATCTTAACTCTTTCCAGTTACGTAGCTGGAATCCCTGTGCTATATTAACATGGATATTGCACTTAAATATTAAAATGATAGGCTCATATAAGGTACTACATAGGAATCCTTTCAAGACTGAAAAAGGCCTACAATTATTATTTTTTGTCGTATCAGGAGCGGCTTGAGAAACTGCAAGTCACTTCTGGTGTAAGAGAATTGGCCGTCTGCAAGGACGTTGCCCAGGGGATGCCAGGATGTTTTGATGTGTTACCATGCTTGTGGGAGGCTTCTCTCATGTTCCTGCATGAGGAGCTGGAGCTGACAGAGGGAGCTCATCCGCGGTCTCCCCGGATTCGAATCTGCGACCTGTCGGTCTTCAGTCCTGCCGGCACAGGGGTTTAAAATCATTTATGATGCTTATCACAGGGCAAATGTGTATCTAACCTTCTCGGTTAATCTTCAGAATTAATGTTAGGTGTTCAGTCTTTCTCTTCTATGGTCTTTTCTAGGTATCGGGGACTCATCCTTGTGTTGACGTTTCTGTGCTATACCACCTTCCATCTTTCACGGAAACCCATTAGTATTGTAAAGGTAAGTAACATAAATCCTGGAAAGTCAGGAATTCTTTCTTGATTCAAAGGAAGTCTAAAGCTGCAATCCAAAGATTGTGGAGCCCTCAAGTCAACAGACCTCATTGGATTCCAGGTACCATTAGCCCCAGCCAGCATGGGTGATGGGAACTTTAGTCCAGCATCATCTGAAAAGGTGCAAATCCCTCATGTCTGCTATACTATGGATACTATTGAATACAGGGAGATTTAAGTCCAAGGAAATGTTCATAAGAATATTCTGAATTCACAAGTGCGCTGGATACCTATGTTTCTTTTTTGAGTGATTGAAAAAGTTTTATCCTGCCCTATATCTAGGGAAGGAGCCCTGGTGGCTCAGCGGGTTAAAGTGCTGAGCTGCTAGACTTGCTGACCAAAAGGTTGGTGGTTCGAATCCAGAGAGCAGGGCGAGCTCCTGCTGTTAGCCCTAGCTTCTGCCAAACGAGCAGTTCAAAAATATGCAAATGTGAATAGATCAATAGGTATCACTTTGGTGGAAAGGTAATGATACTCTATGCAGTCACGCCAGCCACATGACCTTGAGGGCATCTACGAACAAGGCCGGCTCTTCGATTTGGAAATGGAGATAATCAATACCCCCCCAGAGTCGGACTCAACTAATAATAATAATAATAATAATAATAATAATAATAATAAACTTATTTGTACCCCGCTACCATCTCCCCAAGGGACTCGGTGCGGCTTACATGAAGTGAATCCCACAATACATCAATAAACAAAAAGCAATAACAATAATCAATACAAAACAGTTAAAATAACTCAAAAACAGAAAAATACACAATAAGCAATAGACAATAACAATATCAAACATATAGCATTTAAAAACCTATGGCTGGTTTTGACTAGACTTAACTAGACTTAATGTCTATTTACCTTTATATCTAGGTGTGAGATACAAACAATAAAACATTTATTTATTTATTTACAATATTTATAGCCTGCCTTTCTCAGCCATATGGTGACTCAACGCGGGTTACAGATTGGCACAATTCGATGTCAGGTATTCATAAAAGTGCTATTAAAAACTATCAACGTTACAATATAAAACATAAATAAAAACCATTAAAGCATATAATCATCAGTGTCACCTTGTTAAAAACGTTATCCAGTCACATCGTCTGGCCATTCCACGTTCATCATTCATAGTTCTGTGTTATCTATTCCACTGCATTCTCATAAGCTTGCTCAAAGAGCCAGGTCTTTACTTTTTTGGGGGAAAGTCAGGAGGGAGAAAACAATTTTAAGTCATCCAAGAGATTCTTCTTTTTCCTATTCTTGTCTCATCTTCTCATTACTTCCTACCTTGTTCCCTAGGTTGAGGGTTCACTAGGGCAAGGACCTGGTTTCTTGCCCATTTCAAAATTGCCATGTATACGGATAGCTTGATATAACCCAATAATGATATTGATATTCCTGATTCTTTCTATTGTCATTTTTTCTTTCTCTTTTTGCCAGAGCGAACTACATTACAATTGTTCCTCCCGTGGAGCCAATCCAAACAATGAGTCCAATAGCACAACGTGGTGTGACTGGAAGCCTTTTGGTAAGACTTGTTTTCCTAGTCTGTTTCCCTGAAAGACTCAAAAGGTCTACAACTCCTAGAGTTCTCTATTTTGCTTAGTACATGCTATAGTTTAGAGCTACTTGATCAGGAGGCAGTTGTTTCCCCTTTCTTGTTTACAAATACCAGTGGCGACTTTGGACATATGTGCTGCTTAGTTGTACTCTGTTGAACCAGAACCTTAACCCGTACTGTCCATTCTTCCAGACCAAGATAACTATAAGGAACTGTTTGGCGCACTGGATAATGCTTTCCTGGTTGCCTATGCCATAGGCATGTATATCAGGTATGTATCCAACATGCAAGAAGGAGGGGAATATAAAGTGATATCTTTATAATTAGGAATATGCAGAGGAAAAGATATACAACTAGCTTTTCTTGCAACATTAGTCTCCTATATAACGGGGTCAAAAGGGTGTATCCAAACATCTGCATAGTGAAATGATGCACCCAAGTAGCAATGTTGTCTATTTATTTGAAACACCCTGCAGGCAGCTCCATTTCCAGTCCAGGGATCAAAGCATGCTGTTGTTGCGTTCCTTGATTCGGCTCTTGTACCACTATTTAAAATAATAATAATAATAATAATAATAATAATAATAATAATAATAATAATAATACTCTTTATTTATATTCCTCCCTTCTCCCATAAGGCTCTCAGAGTGGATTATAGCATTAAAAGGCAAACATTAAATGCCTTTACAATCATATACAATCAGACAGACAAACACAAATAAAGGCAGAGGCTTCTCCTTTCATTTCCGGCTTCTTGGGGCAGTGCTCATCTCTGGCTCTGGGGAGGGGCTTTTTCTCCATTTTCAAGCCAACGATCCTGCATTGTCACCTCCTGGTTGTGTGGATGGCAAGATTGCTTGGAGCATCTCTTTGTCTTTTCCCGCTGAAGCGGTACCTATTTATCTACTCACATTTGCATGCTTTTGAACTGCTAGGTTGGCAGGAACTGGAGCTGGCAGACAGGAACTCACCCCGTCTCATGGATTCGAATTGCCAACCTTCAGGTCAGCAGTTCAGTCGCAAAATGGTTTAACCCATTGCACCACCTCGGCCCCTTTTTGGGAGGGGCCAAATCAGGTTTTAAGAGCACCGTTTCAACATGTGCTTTTCAGCTGATTCTGTCCACACTTTCCCCAAATGTCATTTAGCTTCTTAGCCACACACATCTTTTACCCCAGTTTCTTCCGGGTTTTTAGACATGTGTAAAAGGGCCCTAGGGATAAATAGCCAAAGGGGCCGTTCTTGCTCACAGTTCCTGTAGATATTGTCTTGCTCACACTAATAGTGTAGTTTGCTCTTGCTTTTACAAAATGAGCTTCTAGATTACTGGGCGTTTGGTGGCCTTTTGGTGATCCTTATTATCTTAATTTCACAGGTTTCTCTGCCATTAGCAATTATGATTTGCTCTTGGTTTACTTTCCTTGATAAGGTTTATCTTCATTGTCAACAATCTTCGCTTGATACAATTTGTCACAGAGGATATCAGCAACCTGACA